ATAATAAGTGAATTCAAGGACACCGATCCTTAGATTCCCCATCTCTTTCTTTGTCAAATTGATGTGGTTCACAACATGAGCGCAACTGGCATAGCTAATTGAAGTGATGATTGACCCGTTGGATAGCGCAATGATTTACATAGGTCTCTGTCTGCAGAAGCAGAGACTGAAAGTTCATTTCCTCACTGGACCTCCCTGACAGAGGCTAGACTCAGTGATTCAGCAACACAGTTCTAAGATGATGATTAGTCCTTGTTTGTGCAGGCAGAGACCTTAGAACCCTTTCTAGGGCTTTTGAGGTAGAGAGTACTCAGAAATGGTTTGCCATTCCCTTCTTCTGGAAGCATCCTGGGACTGTTCAGCTTGCCCAAGGCCACCCAGGCTGGTTCTTCTGGGAGACACAGAGGAGAATTGAACTCCTAACCTGGGTCTACAGCCAGAAATGTAAACCACAGATGTACTCAGCCAGCAAGAAATATATTCTCTTCATGAGAAATATATTTGCAGATTGACTTGCGATTTTTGTGGATGCTGTTTAAATACAAGGACCACATAGCTATTATTGATCTGATTTTTTTTCATGCAACCTATCTGACCATCTCTCTCTCTCTCTCTCTCATGTTGGCTTCTTGCAGATGCCCCCAAAGGAGTGGAATTGAGGGCTGATCCTGGACCCACTCTCCGAGAAGGGGAGAAACTTTCTCTTGAGTGTCTGGTCAAAAGCAGTAACCCTGTTGTCTTTGAGTACCAATGGTGGAAGGATGATGACAGGACATACGAAGGGATCAATGGGAGCAGAATGGAAATTAACCCTGTAGGACGGCAACATTCAGGTCGCTATGGATGTGGAGCAATAAATGCACTTGGCACTTCTGAGTCCCAAGAACTGACAATACATGTCCAGGGTGAGTTGATTCATTGGGCTGATGAAAGATGACTCTGTAGCCATACACTATGATTCTTAGGATTTATGAGTGCCTCATCGATATACAGTGGTGCCTCACATTAGAAAGTTAATTCATTCCAGCGAAATTGCTGTAGAACGAAAACGTTGTAATGCGAAAATAAAAAGCCAATTGAAACGCATTGAAAACCCTTCAATGCGTTCCAAAGGGCTGGAAACTCATCGTCCAGCGAAGATCCTCCATAGTGCGGCCATTTTCGGTGGCTGTCTTGCGAGGAATCCGTCCCAGAAAACAGTGGGGAGCCATTTTATTTACCCGGCGGCCATTTTGAAACCGCCAATCAGCTGGAGGAAAATTGTCGTTTTGCGACGAATTGGTTCCCACGGTTCCCAAAGCAGGGAACTGATCATTGCAAAGCAAAAAAACAAACAAACAAACAAACAAACAAAAAAAACCCACCATTCAGACCATCGTTTTGTGATCGCAATTGCGATCGCAAAGAGATCGTCGTAATGCAGTTTCGTCATAATGCGGGACAAATGTAAAGCGAGGCACCACTGTATAATAAGTGAATTCAAGGACACCGATCCTTAGATTCCCCATCTCTTTCTTTGTCAAATTGATGTGGTTCACAACATGAGCGCAACTGGCATAGCTAATTGAAGTGATGATTGACCCGTTGGATAGCGCAATGATTTACATAGGTCTCTGTCTGCAGAAGCAGAGACTGAAAGTTCATTTCCTCACTGGACCTCCCTGACAGAGGCTAGACTCAGTGATTCAGCAACACAGTTCTAAGATGATGATTAGTCCTTGTTTGTGCAGGCAGAGACCTTAGAACCCTTTCTAGGGCTTTTGAGGTAGAGAGTACTCAGAAATGGTTTGCCATTCCCTTCTTCTGGAAGCATCCTGGGACTGTTCAGCTTGCCCAAGGCCACCCAGGCTGGTTCTTCTGGGAGACACAGAGGAGAATTGAACTCCTAACCTGGGTCTACAGCCAGAAATGTAAACCACAGATGTACTCAGCCAGCAAGAAATATATTCTCTTCATGAGAAATATATTTAGGCTAGACTCAATTATTCATAGGGTATCTTTCAGCAACACAATTCTATTATTGATCTGATTTTTTTCATGCAACCTATCTGACCATCTCGGGTCTACAGCCAGAAATGTAAACCACAGATGTACTCAGCCAGCAAGAAATATATTCTCTTCATGAGAAATATATTTGCAGATTGACTTGCGATTTTTGTGGATGCTGTTTAAATACAAGGACCACATAGCTATTATTGATCTGATTTTTTTTCATGCAACCTATCTGACCATCTCTCTCTCTCTCTCTCTCATGTTGGCTTCTTGCAGATGCTCCTAAAGGAGTGGAACTGAGGGCTGATCCTGGAACCACTCTCCGAGAAGGGGAGAAACTTTCTCTTGAGTGTCTGGTCAACAGTAGCTATCCAGTTGTTCTCAAGTGGTGGAGGAATAATCACTTGACAAATGGAACGATAAAGGGATCCAGGATGGAAATTAATCCGGTTGGACGGCAACATTCCGGTCATTATAAATGTACAGCAAGAAATGCGGTTGGAACTACTGAGTCCAAAGAACTGATCATAGATGTCCAGTGTGAGTCGATTCATTATTCTGATGAAAGAGGATTTGGCAGCCGTACGTTATGTTTGTCTGGATCTAAGATGTTAGACTCTTATAATTTTCCATTTGTTAAGTGGATACTTTAATATAGCAGCAAAGAGCACGTTTCTCTTTATTGATTCATTATGTGACTGCTTTGAATACAGGGTAGAAAGCAGAAACCAGTCAGTTTTGGAGCAGAAACAAAGACTATGATCGTGGTTTGAGTTGAAAGATGCATATGTTAGTTGTGGAAGTAGAAGCTGTGGGGAAACACGAGCATCCTCAAGAAAGGGATGGAGATAAAGCAGTGTCTTCTTTGTACTGCAATCCAGCTTCCTAAATTACCATTTCAAAGATGGCATGTTTGTAGTTCATGACTATGAGAACTTCCAGTGCAATGCAATTAACTGCCTCTAGAAGGGGATGTTTGTCAAGTTTGCTGATATTTGTCCGCCTCTAGAAGGCCATTTTTTGTCTTACATAAAGCTTTATATATAAGGTTACTATCATGCCTATCTGGGCTCGTGTTCCAACATTTGAACTCTCTCATTTTACACAAGACTCTTTGTCCCTCCAGATGTTTTAAACACCTGTTCCTATAAGTCTTGATCAGCATAGCCAAAGGGACCAATATCCTGCTCATATTGCCTTTCCCCATGACCTGCTGGGCTGTTGTTCCAACTTTTGAACTCTCTCATTTTATACAAGACTCTGTCCCTCCAGATGTCTTAAGCACCTGTTCCTACGAGCCTTAATCAGCATAGCCAATGGGAAGGGACCAATGTCCTCCTCATATTGCCTTTCCCCATGACCTCCAAGGAGAACCTGTTTCTGCCATGAGACAAGTCACCTGCATTGCTAGTCAATGGCATAAAGTTCATCAACAGCGTTTAGGAAGTTTCTTTATGGCATCATCTCCTAATTTGCCTCCACTTTGTTGGGGTTTTATATTCCTGCTGAAATCTTTGCATGAAATTTCAAGCAACTGGAAGTAAAGAAATGTTTTTTTTATTCTTCCCCCTACAAATGTCTACTGTGTAGCAAAAGGAATTTTCTCAGAATTCCAAATTTTTCGCAACACATTTCACACAGTTTGATACACATCTCAAACACATGTGTTTTGCCTTGCTAAAAGTGAGCTAAAATATAGCTAGAAGTGTGATAAAATATCAGAAATTTGAGTTCTTTTGTTTTAGTTTTTGGTTCCTCTCTCCTAGATCCACCAGACGAGCCCAAAATCGCCTTCTCAAGCAGGACCGGAAAAGAAGACGTCGCTTTGCATTGTTGGTCCACAGCCAATCCCCCGATCACGCATTACGAATGGTATAAATGCCCTGCCTTGGACATCATCAGCTCCCAAACAGAGCTGCACTTTCCAATGATCCAGCCCAACAATTCTGGTGGTTATTATTGCAAAGCCTACAATCCCATCGGCCACTCAACGTCTTCTGTTGTCACTCTGAATATCCATTGTAAGTAACAGACAGCGTCAGTTGGGAAAGGAAAGGGTGATGGGGAGGCACAGGTCAGTGGCTTCTCCACCTGAGTCAAGAAGGGATTCATAGGACGAGTACAACTGGCATAGCTAATCAAGGTAATGAATAATAATACGGAAAACAGTGTCAATATGAACAGTTCAAAACCACCAGGATTACAGGGGAATTCCAGCAGAATTCCAGCTCTGCCATCAAGAGTTGTCTTTGAAATCACTAGAAGCTTCAGAGCAACATCTTGACTGTCCGAATAAATGTCAGCAGGACAACAGAGAGGAGACCATCCTTGCATGAGTTCCACATCCCAGGGGAAGACAGCAAGAACTCCCATCCTTTAATGCAGTGGTCCCCAACCTTGGGCCTCCAAATGTTATTAGACTACAACTTCCATAAGCCTTTACCATCACCTATGCTGGCCAGGATTTCTGGGAGCTGAAGTCCACGAACATCTGGAGGCCCAAGTTTGGGGACCACTGCTTTAATGTCTCTATAAAATTTGCCTCTGATTACAGGGAGAACTATGAAGATCATGGATTTTCTATGGAAGAATATGGTTTTCCACAGTTTCAAGAATGAGAGGGTGTTTGATATCTTGACAGTCGTCAGCCATTTGTTGCCCTTTGACACTATTCCTTTGCGCTCCTGTCTGATGTTAGGGATGGTCAAGTGTATTGATAAGAATGCTTACTTCTTTCCTCTTTCCTCAGAACATCTCTTTCTGGTTGCCATCAAACGGTCTGCAATTAGCAAGCTTGCAGTCCACCCTTCAAGAGTAAAGCCAAGGGCCAAAGTCTTAAAGCAAAGGCTGAGTATATCTGATGGGTGAAGAAAGAAGAGGCAAGAGAGGAAGAGCAAGAAGTGGGACTCTAACTCAGTTCCCACCCCATTTTCATTCTTCTGCTTTACCTTTCATCCAGGTGCTCACTGTTCTGTTGATCTAACATACAGTATTGTTCTTTTTGATAAATTATAATTGTTTGCTAAAATGTTATTAAAGAGCTGCTTATTTTAAAAACTGACTTGCCCTGGGTGTTTATGGTATTTGCCTTCTTCTTTTGCCTTTCCAGTGGTTCCCAACCTTGGGTCCCCAGATGTTCTTGGACTACAACTGCCAGAAATGCTCTTCAGCAGAGCTAGTGGCGAAGGCTTCTGGGAGTTGTAGTCGAAGAACACCTGGAGACCCACGATTGGGAACCTACTGCCTGAAATGAGAAACTTGTAGATGGGACGAACATTTGAGCTAACAGAAATCAGATTAGTTACCAAAGTATTTTCTTTGAAGAAAACACAAAGAACCCCTTAGTGCCATCTCACACTCTGGAAATATTCTTTCCAAAGATCATTTTGGCCTCCACAACTTGGCAGAGACATGTAGGTTTCCCAGGTCTCAGATAATGGTTAGACTTCCCTGGTTTTCCAGTTGGAGAGAATGCTCAGGGTGAGCAGCACTTAAGGACTGTAACTAACATGGAGCAAATGGGGATTTGTCTCAGGCTGCCAACTTTAGAGGCTTCTCTTCTGTTACTCTTTACTCATTGCACCATATTTTTTTTCAAATGTATTTATTTATTTATTTTATTTCCAGGGGGAAATGAATCGGGATAGCAGAATATATCATGCCATTTCTTATCACATATTCTTTCTTACTTACACATATTACAATAAAATTTGTGGATCTGTTAGTTGCTTGTATACTTCCAATTTGAATTATTTGATTATTTTGTATTAATGTTATTGCATTTGGAGTTCCGGTTGTAAAATGGATCCAGTGATACTCTGTTTCCCCGAAAATAAGACTAACCTGAAAACAAGCCCTACTATGATTTTGCTTGTAATATAAGACCTACCCCAAAAATACCGTATTTTTCGCACCATAAAACGCACTTTCCCCCCACAAAACAGGGGGGTGGAAAGTCTGTGCGTCTTATGGAGCGAAGAAAACAGATTATATTTTCCTGTTTTCTTCTCCTAAAAATTGGTGCGTCTTATGGAAAGGTGTGTCTTATGGAGCGAAAAATACGGTAAGCCCCAGTGAAGTGAAACCCTGCCCTCCACCATTGTGCAGCAATCAGAAGATGGCATGACTGTATTTGAATCAATGTAGATGGTTGTACATGAAAAAAAAAAGAGCACGCCCTGAAAATAAGCCCTAATGTGTTTTTTGGAGCAAAGATTAATATAAGACCCTGTCTTATTTTCGGGGAAACACGCTATACAGGGTATCATTTTTCAGTTGCTTCTTGGATTGAATTGTCTTTTAAAGCTTCTGTTAATATGCCCATTTCCACCGCTTCCATAATCTTTTCCGTAAATTCTTCACAGTTTGGTACAGTGGTGCCCCACATGATGACGATAATTCATTCCACTGAAATCGCTGTTAAGCGAAATCATCATCATGCGAAAACAGTTTCCCCATTGGAATGCATTGAAACCCGTTTAATGCGTTCCAATGGGAAAAAAACCTTGTTGTCCAGTGAGGATCATCCATAGAGAAGCCATTTTGCGACCGCCGATCAGCTATTTTTAACCGCTGTCTTGCAAAAATCGGTCTGGAAAACATAAGCGGAATCGTCATCATGCGAAAACAGTTTCCCCATTGGAATGCATTGAAACCCGTTTAATGCGTTCCAATGGGGAAAATACCTTGTTGTCCAGTGAACATCATCCATAGAGAAGCCATTTTGCGACCACCGATCAGCTATTTTTAATCGCTGTCTTGCAAAAATCGGTCTGGAAAACAGTGGAAGGCCATTTTGCGAAGCCGATGATCAGCTGGAAAAATCGTCGTCTTGTGAAAAACGGTCCGCGAAGCATGGACCAAATCGTTGTCAAGCGAAAGTCACCCATTGAAATTACTGTTTTGCGAATCGCTATAGGGATCACAAAAAGTCATCGTTATGTGGATTCGTCATTCTGCGGGGTCGTTGTCTAGTGGGGCACCACTGTATTTCAGTTTTCTTCCATTTCCCTGTGTATAGTATTCTGGCTGCGGTTATTATATGTATTATCAAATGGCGCACTCTCCTATCTAAAGTCTGTGGCAATATATTTAATAAAAATAATTCTGCTTTAAATGGAATATTACCTTCCATTTTTGGAACTGGACAGGGGCCAAGCAGGTGCAAATGTTTCAAGCAGCAAAATGTTTCGGGCTTGCCCTGTGTCCCAACTTGGCAATGGTGAGGAATCCCATTTCATGAATCCTTCTATGCTGCAGCCCAGATCTTCCTGTTGAAGAGGTTCAGGGCAGAATCCATTTTTTAAACAAGGTCTGGCTCTACCTTTAGGCAGAGTGAGGAACCTGCCCCGGGCTGCAGAATGGGAATGTCATGGATGGGCAGCCAATTTTTTTTTTATTGGTTGGTTTAAATAAGTGTGTTTTGATTCAGACATGAAGAAATGTGTTTGAGGGATTTCCTGCCTGACATGCAGATTAACAGGACTGGCTGTGTGAGGCATAAGGTGATGGGGGTGAGGATGTTTGCTGCTGCATTTCAGGCAGCAAAAAAGGAAGGGATGGTCCTGTTTTAAGGAGTGAGGATTTGAAACTGTTTCCACCTATTATAAATAAGGCAGTGAAGTTACCTGCTCAGAAGTTACCTTCAATATGGACACACTCATGTGGCTACAGCCTCCAAAATCTCAATAGACAAGCTTCAGAAAAGTGCAGGAAAAGAATAGAATCTTATTGCTTTTATGAGCAGGAAAAGAATAGAATCTTATTGCTTCTATGGGGGATCGCAAGTTACATACAGTAACTTGACATCTGTTGAGAGTGGGTCCCCCAGAAAAAGGCAATAGCCCCTGTATCGATTCCAAAGAGACACATCTCCGTCCACTGCCACCCCTGGAGGACACGTGAGGTTCCTTCACCAGAGCTCATCATAAGTGGAGAGTGGGTCCCCAAGAAAAAGGCAATGGCCCCTGTACCGATTCCAAAGAGACACATCGCCGTCCACTGCCACCCCTGGAGGACCTGTGAGGTTCCTTCACCAGAGCTCATCATAACTGCTTGCGTTTTGCTAGCATTCTCTCCTTTTTTAAAAGGAGCCAAGACCCTCCATTGGACCGCTGTCAGCAAAAGTCATGCTCCGATGAAAGAGACTTGTTGTAAGTCATGTAAATGATTTCAAGGTTGGTAACAACCGTTCACACCCACTTCCTGCTGTAAACTTCATCTTTCCCCCTTTTCCTGCTATTAGAACTGAAATTAGAAACAACAGCACATCTAATGCTTCCTCTTTCATTTTCTGGAGATGGTACCTCTACTGGTCTGTTCCTTTATGCCCACTTTGTAAGCCGAACTGTTTTCAAAGCCTCAGCAATTGCAGGTAACATGTTCTTTTGTGGCTCTATTTGGAGTGGATTGTGTCATCTGGTCTGAATTGTCTATCCGTATCCTTGGAAATGAAACAATAGCAACTCAAATAGCTTGCTTTTCTGGTTTTTATATTGCCCATAGATGCAGACATAATGCCCGTAGAGGAACTCTCTCTGTAATTTTCGATGTTCATAGGTAATGGCCACCCTTTTAACAGCTATGTGGGCAGTTTTTAATCTTGTGCACACTGCCATTGGATACATGCTGTCTGGATAATATTATTATTTTGTGTCTTTTTAACGGCTTTTAACCAATTGTTTTAAAGTATATGTTCAATTGTTTTTGAATGGCATGCTTTATTGTGGTTTTAATGGGTTTGTTCTCTAATAACTGGAGTTCTGTAATTGGGAAGAAGGTGGCTAGGAGTGGCCCCCATGACCCCCTCCATCACGGTGCAGCAAGTATTGGCAGATACAGGCTCCTTTATTAGGGCAACTCAACTTTGAACTAGTCAAGGTGGCCCAGGCACAAATGCAAGAACTTTTAAGGTGCCTGGGATCCAACTGCAGTCCATAACAGTGCAACGTAACAGAGCCAGTCCACCAAAGCCTCCTCTTCCAGTTCCAATACACCCTCAGCTGAACTTCGCATGGAGTCCCTGCAGGAAGGGTGCTCTGTTCAGGCACTCAGCTCTCCCTGGAGTACTGTAGCCTGGGTGCCTTCCCCTGCTACTCCCTTGTAAGTCACCACTGGTGGCAGCCACACCATATGTGTGGTACTCTTCCTTGGAGTCACGGCCAAGGTCTATAGGGCCATGGCTGGCTCACCTGAGTAAGAAAGAGTGGAAAGAGGTAGGATAGGAGGAGGACCAGCTGGACAGTGTTGGGTATTGTGGCTGGTGGACTCTGGCTGTGGGGTGGCTTCCCTCTGCCGGTGCTATGCCCTCCACTGGTTCTCCAGCTATTTAGTCTCTCACCATCTCATCTCACCTTGATGCATCCGGGCTGCTTCCTGTAGTGGTACAAAGAGCCCCATCTCAATGCCTGGTATCAAGTTCCCAGCAACAGATCATCTTCCAGTAAACTGTTGAGTGGTCTGGCATCGCCAGCAGTTCGAAGGCCTCAAGCTCTTGCTAGTCAATGTGGTCCACCGAGCAGTCCTCCCCATCCTCTTCACTTTCATCCTTAATTTACCTGTCCTCCATATCCACATGTGTGGCCTCCAAGGCATCGTCTGCACATTCCAGTCCACAGGTGTGGGTTGGGACTCTTGCTCCTACTCTCGGGCAGGTGGAAAATCCACTCTCACCAGCAGGAGGATTGGGGCTGGTCCCTGAGTTAACCATAATCCTTCATCCAGAAAAGTTGGTGTAAAATTGAAAATTGAAACAAAGCATCTGACAATCAGCTCCCTATATAAGAAATATGCAGACCTTTAGTTTCTGATCTTTGGACTTCCAGAAGACCAGGTTGGGACCTTAAGATAAATTCCATGTAGGGCTTGTGCTCAGTTCTAACAAGGTACTCTTTCCATAGATACTGTTAGCTCCCTTTTAGCTTCCGACCAGATAGCACACATGTGGGGGAAAGAGTCTATATTCCTAGGTAGCCTTATTTGATCTGGCTTTTTGTTGGGAGATTCTGTGGCTGTTTCAGGAGATTGCCTGAGTTCTGTGTAGGCAATGAGATCCTGTTACTTTGGTTTCATCTGGCCATGAGAATGGCATTCCCACTTCCCAGTCATTTTAAATGTTGTTATTGCATTTTAATAGAGGTTTCTTTATGCTGTTATTGTTGGGTGTATTATTGTTTTTATTTGAATGAGAGGTGTGTGGAGGTGTGCTACCTTGCCTAGAGGCTACAGTCCAAAAACACAAATCTGCATACTTTTAATCTGAATTATTGTTCGGCGTTGATACTCTTGAAATATTATGCAGAAATATACAGTAAATAAGACATAAAAAGAGGAGCCAGGGCTATCTGATCTTCACAGCATTGAGCTACCCTTGTGTCTACTTCTTCTCTGGAGAGTCAGTGTGGTGCAATACTGATCTTAAAAGCACTGGACTCCCTTTGTGTCTGTTTCTTCTCTGGAGAGTCAGTGTGGTGCAATGTTTAGAGCACTAATTCTCAACCTTGGGTCTCCAGATGTTCTTGGACTACAACTCCCAGAAATCCTGACCAGCACAGCTAGTGGTGAAGTTTTCCAGGAGTTTCATTCCAAAAACATCTGGAATGATACTGATAGCCAGTCTAGAAGTCTACCTAAGTCTATCTAAGTATTTACCCATTCACATTGCCATCGTTTGGTGAGTATTTCACAAATTATGAAAAAGGAATTGATGACTCTTTCTCTCCCCACCCCCTGCCTCTGTTCTTTTCTCAGGTTCGGCTCTTGCAAGAATCCACCATGAGGTGTTTCTTTCTGCTCCTCTTCCTGGAGGGTAACACACACAACACCAATTCGATTGGGGTTGGGAGAAGTGACTGGGGCTTCTGATTGTGGTGTTGAAAGCTTTGCTAGAGATGAAGAGACAGGACAGAACCCAGTTCATAACAAATATCTCAAGTCTGATAAAAAGCCACAATCCTCCCGGTCATCAGTCCTGGGACTTGAAGGAGAAAATCTGTTTCACTTTCATCCAAATTTATTGAAAAACAAACAAACAAACAAACAAATAGGACAGAACCAAGTTCATAACAAATATGTCAAGTCTGATAAAAAGCCACAATCAGTCATCAGTCCTGAGACTTGAAGGAGAAAATGTGTTTCACTTTCATCCAAATTTATTAAAAAACAAACAAACAAAAAACCTTCACATCCTTTTTGCTCAAATGGGAAGTTTGTGAATTTTGGCAAATCATTCAGAAATAAAACTGGCCCCCAAAATCTCCCTCTCTCCCTCTGCCAGTTTTTGATAGATCTGTTCCCAGCGTAGAAAGGACGATGTGAGTGGATATTGCAGTGTTAAAGTGAGAAACTGGACAGAAAAATAATCCTTTGTTCAGATGGTGGAGATCACGGGAACAGACTACAATATTTCGTGTGTTTCTCCATTGCAGGTTGTCGCTCTAGTTTCGAAACGCCATTGACCATAGAACCCAGTTCTCTGGCTGGTTGGAAAGGATCCTGTATATTGATTCCATGCCAGATCAAGAATACATACGGTGGTCGTTGTCTTAATAACATCTCCCTGATCTGGTATTTTGACCCTTCTTATGATGGCAAAGAGTATACTGGCACCATCTTGTACAATAGCTCTAGGACCTCCCAAAAGCACGTGATCCCAACAATAGCAGGTTTACAAGAACGCGTGACATTTGCTGGTAATTTAAATGAAAGAAATTGTGACTTGAAGATTTCCCAGCTTCAGACAAGTGACCGTGGTTTATATGGAGCAAGGCTTCACGGCATCCTTGAAGACGAAACCATTGTAAAGGATTGGTTCCAAAGTGCAAGTGTTAATATTCTTGGTAAGAACCTTTCAGAAATGTTTCTCTTTCCCTTTTCACCTACACAGAGTCAATGAACAGGAGTGTATGAATGAATGAGGCTTTTTGAGTAAACTGGCCCCAAACTACTGAGGACTTTGACCATTTTACACCAACAGTTTGAACACTTTGAACTGGGCCCAGAAGTGTATTGATCAACAGTGAACTGGTACACAAATGGGGTCCCATGTTAAACCTTTCTGCCCACTCCGTTAGCTTTGGGACACCGATGGCTGAACCCCGTGAATTTTCTGATCCTTTTCCAAAGGTAGAACATAATTAGCAATCCAGTAACAGAGGACAGGTCTGACTCCTCTGGATGAGGCCACCACCGGTACACAAACCTGGACAAGATCCTTCTTTCCCCCAACATTCCCTGACTTCTCCAGACAGTGACAAGTCCCGGAACACCCTATACCTACATGTGTTGGGTTTTGGTTATTATAATCAATAGATTATACCCCATCAAGTAGCAGAATTAGCCGACTGCAGCTGGAAACATTTAGATAAGAAAGCACTATCTAGTTAAAATAAAATTATGTTCTACCTTTTTGTGTGTTGGTGCCGGAAATTAATATATCCAAATAAACGCTAATTGACTTGGGTAAAACAAGAAAGAACTTCTACTGATTATAAACATATGTAAACTATACAACATGACACATAGTGCTTAGATGTGCTTGGTACGACAGACATTATCTTGTAAATAATTATCTCTTCTATTCTTACACTTTTATATCTGCAATCTTTACCAGGTTCAGAGACCTATCTTTATTTCTGTCCGAGGTACATTTCTCGAGACACCCTTTCAGAACTATGTGTCCCTGTCTCCATCCTGTCACATATTTGATCCTGTCTAACAAAGTCCTGGCCAACTCCTGCTTTTCTAGCAGCACGCACACATAAGCACAAATATCAACAGCCTTCTCCTTCTTACCGAATGTTACCCAGTCTGTTCCCACTCCTCCTTCCCTGCCCACAAAATTCCCATTGTATCAGAACTGAATTCCTGCTTGCCATATTTACTTATTTTTTAGAATGCCATTGAGGTATGCCACATTTTTGACCTGCAGTGACATAGCATTAGCACTTATATGCCCTGCATATGAACAGGTGAAGATTTCTTTGTAGTTTTTCTACTGTAATGGAATAATAGCTTGAAAAGAGAGAAATAAAAAAACAAATATCTTTAAAGGGAAAGCATCCTCAGGCAGGACTGGTTTCATGTCTCTTTTCTAACCCATGGAACCTCCATCTTACTGGGAGTAGATTTTAAATTGTGATGTAATAATAGCTTCCTGCCTGCCAGCCTGCCTGCCTGCTTGCCTGCTATGGCAGTATTGTATTCAATTCAGCTTCTCCCCACCTTTCGACAGTGATAATCATGCCATTTCCAACTTCATTATCTATATTTGCAGGGTCAGTTTTTTTAAAAAATTACTGGCTCTCCTGTTGTAAGTCAGCACTGATGAAACAGGTAAAAGGCAATGCCACCAAATGTTCAGGGTGGAAAAGATGAATCTAAATCCCAAACAAACACAATAAAACAAATCCCACAGTCTGAAAACACAGAGAATAATACTGATGGACAACCTTTTCTTATTGGCATTACACTTTAATAGTATTACATTTCTTCTTTTATTGCATATTGACCAAAAGCCTATTCTGTAACATCTGTTCTGTGTCTTGCTGGTACAGTAATTTTTTTTTAAAAAAATTATTCATTTATGTTTCTAAAGAATGAAAAGACAATCCATCATATTACAAATAATAAATACAAAGGTATTCCGCACAATTCTCCAGATCACATTTATACCATTCCCCGTCACCTTTTAAAGAAATATCGACCAACAATCTATTTTTTTTTTCCAAACCACATGTCTCAAAGTCCATTTTGTTGGCATATTTTCATAAAGGCTTCCAATTTTCAGTGAATTCACTGTGGCTTATTTCTCCTCTAAGTAATCTAACTTTATTAGTCATTTTTCCATCAGCATCGTATGCCATATTTTACTTGTGAATGCTTGCAACGAGAGATCTTGGGCTTTTTTCCAATTTCTAGCGATTTCAGATCTTGCGGATTTGCAACTAATTCTTTATTTTCTCGTTTCTCATTTCCCGCTGTGAATAATGAAAATAACAATAATGTTTCATTAGTATCTATTTTTTGATTAGTCAGTGTCTCTATCCATCTAATTACCTCGTGCCAAAAAATGCTTCTATTTTGGGGCAAGAAATCCACATATGTTCCAGAGTTCGTTTTTGTCCACAGTTCCTCCAACATGTTATCAGACATATCTTTACTAATTCTATGTAACTTTGTAGGGTATAGATGCCACCGATGCACTACCTTCAGAACCATTTCTTTCACACTGCTGATATAGATTTATATGGGTATTTTTTCCAAATTTCTGTCCAAATTTCCTCAGGTATATTAATATTTTAATTTGTTTCCCTATTCAAGAATTGATTACTTCCTTATATCAGAGAATCCAAGAATTGATTACTTCCTTATATCAGAGACTTTGGTCCCAAATCTGGACAAAATACAATTTGCCCCTGAGATAGCCTCTGATCATGCACTGATGGACAACTGAGGGCCACAAGCCCATGTTGATGTTGCTAAGTCCACGTGAAGTGCCTACTGATGGACGACTGAGGGCCACAAGCCCACGTTGATGTTGCTAAGTCCACGTGAAGTGCCTACAGCAGGTGGGGGGAAAGGGACAAGCAGGTAGATTGCACGGCACCAGAAATATTTGGTTCACCTATTGAAATGTTTTTATATGCCAGTTGCGCCAAACAGTTTGCTGTTGTTATGTGACATCACGTTGCCTCTGACTCATGACAGCCCTATGAATGATCGATCTCCAAAACACCTTGCCTTCAACAGCCCTGCACAGCTCATGCAGATTCCAGCCCATGGTCTCTTTTAGGGAGTCGGTTCATCTCATCTTTAGTCTTCCTCTTTTCCTGCTGCCTTCTGTGCTTCCCAGCCTTATTGTCTTTTCCAGAGAATCCTGCTGTCTCAGGATGGGCCCAAAGCAGGACACTCTTGGTTTCAATGTTTTTGCCTCCAGAGATAGTTCAGGCTCGATTTAATTGATGACCCACTTGTTTTTATGGCAGTCCAGGGTATCTGTAAGAGCTCTAAGTTTTTGAATGTCTTCAATGTCAACTAGACATGGGCACAAAGGGCTTCATTGGGTTTCATATAAAGGGCCACACGTGGCTTGACAGGTAAAATACGCGGGTCCATCTCCCATGCCTGGCTGGCTGCCCACTCCCTGTTCTTCACGTGCCGTTGGGGTCCTGCTTGGATTATAGCACCACTGGAAAAGAAGGTCCCTAGCACTGCACAAAGAACAGTGAGTGGGCCAGCCAGTCAGGGTGCGGTGAGATAGACCCACGTGGCACCTATGGACGTGGCACCAACAAAGGACTTCGTGCTCATGTCTGATATCACTGCTAAAGTTGTGTAGTTCTCCTGTAGTCGTGACTTTTGTCTTCTTAACATTCAACTACAATCCTGCTTTGCAGCTTTCTTTTTCACTTTTCCAAAGAGTTGTTTCAAGTCATTGCTGCTTTCTGCCTGTGAGATGGTGTATAGTCATGTAGATAAAGTACAACAGGAATGACAAAAAAATTATCCAAGGGTCCTTTCTACAGGAACTATTGTAGCTATAGTAGTTTCCAACATTCGTGTCGACCAGTACATCTGAAAACAAAGAGAAGAGGCTGAAATATATTAAACGGATTATTTTAGAACTTTACCTGAAGAGAGACTTAGCATTTCTCCTTTTGTCTTCTGGATGTAGACTCACCGCTGAAACCTAAGCTGCAAATCTACCCCGAGGAGACTGATGATGGATTGACAACCAGTGTCAGCTGCTCAATGTCTTACCATTGCCCGGATCAGCCATTAACATTGGTTCTCCATTTGGAAAATCGATTGGGTTTGAAGGAGCAGCATCCGTCGATCCAAAGACCCAGTGACAAAAATAGAGAGGTTCGCAAAGAGCTGAGTTTTGTCCCAACCTGGGGGGATCATGGCAAATTGCTGACATGTTCAATCACAGATAAGGGGACAGAGATATCCCAGAGTACCCGGAAACTGGATGTGAAACGTAAGTGTTGAGTGGAAGCGGTGCGAAGAGATTTGTTTGAAAAATGGATTTTCCATGAGTAAAGCTAGGATAGCTCAGAACTCCTGCCTAACTCTGTGGTTGAGGTCTCTGGCTGACGCCTCAGAGGTTAGGAGTTCAATTCCTCCATGATGTCTCCCTGGTAGGGGCTGGAAGTGATCCATAGGGCCTCTTCCAGCGCTACAGTTCTAAGGTTCTTATATTATTATAAATGCAGAACTGAAAATCTGTCACCTGAATTGTGAATGCTACAGGACGTTGTGATAAGGAGTGTTTCTATCATCAAACCAAGTTCTGCTTAGCATTGGCCTGCCAACATTCTTGGGCCTTAAGTTCGCTGTGAATGTAACTAGTTCTTTGAACAGAAGAATGAAACACTCCTAGAGCTGCAATAATGAATTCTTTCTTTGCTATGGGTCTATTTTGTGGAGGGATAAAGCTGCACTTCCTTCTCTGTTTTCAGTGGGGCTCCCCTCCTGATAAGAGTGCACAGGGTTGAGTCTCAGTGTTCAGTCTAAAGTTGTTTTCCATGCAACTGCCATAGTGGCGCCTCACTTTACGCTTGCCCTGTTTAACGACAAAACCGCAGTACGATGAACTTTTTGCAATCGCTTTTGCGATTGCAAAATGATGTTTCCTATGGGGGAATTTCGCTTTGTGATGATTGCTTCCCTGCTTTGGGAAACGATTCTTTGCAAAGCGACTATTTTCCTACAGCTGATTGGCGGCTTCAAAATGGCCGTCGGGTAAACAAAATGGCCCCACTGTTTTCTGGGATGGATTCCTTGCTGCACAGGCAGCAAAAATGGCCGCTCTATGGAGGATCTTTGCTGGA